AACTAGGGGTCAACCATGCATGTTGGCATAACAAGGTAGTCGTATGAGGACAAGCCAAATAATATGGTTAAGTGACCTTCCGGCACAATACATGGAATCCAAATATAGGATGGTTCAGACGAGGTGTAGATTGACATGATTGAAGATGGGACATAAAACCCCACGAAACAAGCAGGTGTTTTGTCAATCAACTAGGTTCCCACTAAATGAGCATTAAAGGAGCACGAAACAATACCATAGAAGGTGAGCAAGGGGCAGCCTCAAACATAGCTGAGGCAAAACCAAACCGCTCTTTCAATAGCGGTTCCCAGAACAAGAACTCTACACTCTCTTTCCAACAATTCTGGTTCTGGAGAAGGGGCCCTTTGAAGAGGATTGGTCGTCTTCAACCCCCCTTGTTCCTGTTGAGGGGAAGGGCTTCCCATAAACATCAAGCAACCACAAAAAGGCTGCCGTTTTATTCACAAATGTCCAGGAGCTTCTGGGCAAAAATCGCAAGTTCCTGCACGAACGCGACGTTTTTGAGAGCTTATCTGCCGGCATGGGCACGCTGCATCGACAGGAAGAGCGAGGGCTCCTCCCTGTGGGACCTGAATCGAACATCAAGCGCCGGCGCCGCTCCAAGTCGCATGTTTCAGAGTCAAGCCTTGACTAACTGAGGTATTCGATATGGCAACCAGACTTTTTTTGACAACACGACATACCTCAGTGCCTCAGGCCGGGTCCCTCATTGTAAAGGCGCGTAAGGCCTTTCCATACATGATTTCAACTGCGCCTACAAAGGGAACAGGTGGAGTTTTTCAGGCAAGGCCAAGGCCAGCCTAACGGCTTGCTTCGTTTTCAAGCGAAGCCCCGAAAGGATAAAAAGGGCACTGGAACGCAGACCTGTGGCTCTTGCCAGAAAAGAAATCAGTGGATACCAATTCGGCTTGCCTGGTGTCCTGGTCATAGCTCTGCGGGACCTGGCGCGTTCCGCCAAGGTTGCCCCTTTGCCCCAGACAAGCACCACCAAAACCATGCGGAAACCACATCAACACCCGAAAAAGGGTGGAGGGGGACTACAGTCAAAGATAATTTCTAGGATGGGATCCCAGCTATCCATGTTCATTGGAGCAATTGGAATGCTTAGCGGATGGGTGACTACAGAATCAGATAGGGAAGGAGACCTAGAGCTTGCTTTGGGGCCCTTTGGGAAACCCTCCGAGAGGGCGATCCCCGATTCTGCGGGGGCATTCCTTATTCCTCGCTGAAACAGCAACCACACTGCCACGTTCGAGGCTTGCAAAGGGATGGGAACGTCCACAAATTGGGGTGATCAGGAACACCCCAACGACTGCTTTAGGACAGGACGGGTGCGGGACATGGTTGAGAAGCTGTCGGAATCGATCCCTGTTTCTTGGAGATACCCGCATCAAGCTGGCAGACAACCCACCCACCCGGCCCGCCCGCACCCAAAATGGCATCTTGGAGGTCAGGAAGCTGATCGAGGTCCCCATGCATGAACCATTCCAGCTTTCAGGTCTGGGCCACCTGTGGTTCTTTCCTTTGCCCAGGAATTCGTCGCTGGCCCCGGGTAAGGGAAACCCCTCCAAAAAAAGTACAAAAAGGCACCACTGAAATTCTGGGTACCCAAATGGTGCCCGACTAACGTCTTCAACCATTTCAGTAGTTGAGCGTCATCTCTCCCGCCTGTCGCTTTTGCGAGGCGCGGTCCTGTCGGAAGATATGGACAAAAAGCGTAGGGTGGCCTCCTTTAGGCTTTCCTTTGAAACCCTAAGGGAACTTTCATGAGTAATTGTTTCTTAAAATAAGGGTGCCCCTAAAGAGGGTGGTTTCTTGTTGGGTTTCCCTTACAATATCAACCCAAGGTTTGTCCGAACCCCATTTGAGAGAAAACCATTATACTTACTTCCTGACTCTCGAATAGAACACCCCCTTTCATCAAACAGGGGTTTGTCCATCGTGGAATCCAAAATAAGTACATTCCCAAGCCCAGGTGTGTTGGCGATACACTTCGCTCTTTCCGCCAACTGATCAACCCCAAACCTCAGACTGAAAGGTGGCTTTATCATCCTCATTCTATCAGGTAAGCCTTAATTAGTGGTTGGATTGGTGCAATGCGATTTTTAGGCCCTGGTGTTGTACAGGTTGTTGTAGAGAAGTTTGGAACTACGAAGCACGAATCCAAGACAATCACATGGAAGCTGATTCTAGTACCCGGATCTCACCCAATGGCTGTTTAAAGAGGAAAGCAAACTTTTAGGGGAACCCAAGAGAACCACCACCATTTCAGAGGGTTTTCAAACAAAAAAACACAGGACACCCATGTCCCCATTTCCAACCAAATAGGACGTCTGGGGCCATAAGGGTCCTCCACAGCGCGCGCGGCTGCAGACTTCCAGTCGATCAAGGAGACATTCTTCTTGGCCCAGCGAGCTCGTTCAAAGGCCCCAGTACCTAAGAGGACTCCGACAGGAGTGCCAATGACCTGACCAACCGGGTTATTCATAAACCAAAAGCAAACATGGAAATCAGCAGAGGTTTGGAGTTAAAGATGCTTACCCAATAAAAAGGCTGCAGAACCGTTGCCCCCGTGGCATATAACCTCCATACCTCCGAAACCCACCTGGGTTGGAGAAACGAATCAGTGGCGAATGTATGGTAAAAACTGCTGTTCATGGTGACGGTTCTCTTAGGAGGAACCTTCCAGGGGGTCATCTTCGACCTCAAGGTGTTTTGACCATAGCAATGAGCACCAAGCTGAACCAGCTTTCAAGCCCAGAAAATGTTCATACATTGTCTACCGTAACTGGACTGGGTTTACCTTGTCTCATTGCAACATTCGGGCTGGACAATCTAGTGTCTGGTGTCTCAACCAAACGCCCAAACTGGACGGGAAAAAACAAACAAACCAATGACCGCGAGATGGAGCTCAAGCACTGGCAGCTAAACCCCAGCTTTCTGAGTTAGAGGCGTTCGAAGTATTTCACTCGGCTGAAACCGCTTGAAAGGATCTGGAAAGCAAAGGTTTGTATAGGTCTAGGTCGCATTGGCAACTTGACTAAATATTGGCCAAACAAGAGAAGTCAACAGGTAAAATGATCTAAATGCTTTGGGCAGGTGAGACATGGTGAGACACGTCGTTGCGCAGCATGCTTGCTTCATGTTGAATGCGACTTCACTTTCAGCTGGCAGTTCCACCCCAGCCACCAGTTGGTGGCTTGTCCAAGTACGGGGTTCGTCCATCCCTGCCGAGCGGAAACTTGATTTTGTCCACAGTCCGGCTCGTGGAAACAAAAAGCTGGCCATCTTTCTGTTGGCATTTCCAGGTATGTTTTCTGGAGGTATTGAGCTTAGAACAACTTGTCTGAGGGCTATATACTGCCATATCTGCGCTTGTATTGGCGGCGTACCTGCGTATCCATAACCCCATACCTGAACAAGCCTGCGTTTCCATCTTTCGGTGGGATCGGCTGGGGAGCCCGACCATCAGAGGGCACCTGGGCCGATCGACCTGAGCACGCTGGGGGGGGGAGGGGCTTCCTGTAAAAAGGTGGCCAAGCACTCGAACAACTGGTTGGTTTCTCATGTCAACTTCAGATAAATCATGTCATGGAATGTCACAACAATTCCAAGACCTGAAAGAACATTTGGATCCCCAAGACAAGGACTTACATCATGAGCTCGTTTTGATCCCAGGTGGGCTTCGCATAACATAGGCAGGCCATGATGTACATGACGATTTATGCCCACCAACCAGGTTTTAGGGCACTCCTCAACTCATAGCAGTATAATATCCCCTGTACAAAGGTCATGGGGGGCCTGTTTCATGGCTATTCCCCCTTCTACACATGCTTCTCCGGGCAACGTAATGACAAACCTGAAACAAGTTGGAGCAAACCTTTGAAAAATAATCTCTGTTCGGATTGTTGCTTGACGCTCGCCGACATGAAATTGAAATTGCTACCCCCTCCAATTACGCACTCGTGTGTCTGTTTATGTTGAAGAACCATGTGTTCCATGGTAAGTACCTCAGGAGCTGACACCATGCCCAAAAATCGTGACTAGTGGGAGTACGGAGGAAGTGAAATCCGTCTGGCTGCTGGCCCAGTCACGGTCTGGGGTCGAGCTTGCAGAGACCTGCACAAAAGATATGCAACAAACCAAGTCAGGGACCATGGAACCCCTCCCCCTCTAGATGATCATAATATGAATCATATGTCGCTGGTATTGTGGTTGAGAGTGTTTGGTTCACTTGCAGCACTCTTTCGCAGAACAAATGCTTCATTCGCGCGAATTTCGTTTAGGAGACTGCCTGGACATATATGGCGTGTCTGCGCAAATAACTTCACAAGCCGAACATCAGGGGAACCCTGCTGTGGATGGACGAAATCCATTTCGCACCACCGCTCAGAAACCCGGGTTTCTGTTTCGATTTTCCCGTAAATGCCAACCAGCAATGGGCTTCAGCCATGGTTAAGTGGCGCGACCGGATTTCGTCCGTCCATCAGTAAGGAACCGTCAGGAGCTGACGCCTCCGAGCCGAGGGGTCCGCGGTTTGGGGAACCACTCCGGGCAGCCGGGCTGGAGCTTGGGATTTGCCCCGTCTATCCGGGATAAACCTGGGTGGCCCCTCCGGTGTGTGGCTTTTTTAAAGCAAAAAGTATTTTGGTCGAGCCAAACAAGCAAGTATGAGAGGCGCCAGAGGTGAGTACAAAAGAAAACGGAACCAAAGCAGTCCAGTCTACCTGCAACCCCGAGTGGCTCACCTAAAGCCGATGCATCTTGAGAATCGGCTTGGGTTGATTCAAAGGCCAAAGGGAAATCACGCACAATTTGGCGGACAGCAAACCCATTTCGCCTTTTCCCGATCCTTGGGAGTCTCGGGCGTCTCCAGTGTCAGCGAGGAGGTTGAGCTGCCTGCCATATGAAGCCCCCGAACCCAAAACTTTTTGATCCCGTACTCAGCTTCCCTCCAACGGGTAAATTGAATTGGTGGTTTGGAGGTGTTCCCATCTCTACAAGAACCAGGGCGTCAAACCTCAAAGCCGCCAATCCAACCCACCAATTAACGCTTTGCTGACTTGCTACCAGCGGACGAGATTCTGCACCAGTCGAGCCTGTTAAACTGGGATTATACCCACTGCAGGGTTTTGTCCGTGTACTGTAAATTATTCTGGTCTAGTCCTAGACTCTTAAACCACTCCAGGGGCCCCTGTCAAAAGTTCAGTTTCTAGTGGGATGTCTCATAAATCTCGCCACACTTTAGACATCTAAGTCTAAGGGGACGGAAACTGCCAACTCTACCCCGAAGCATGAGACAAAAGGACTAGCCTTCACAAGAGAAGCAACACTGGCCTGTGGCGGTGCAGGTTTTCCTATATTTGGATCTGCTTGTGTATGCAAGTCACTTCTGTGTCTATATTGTTTGCACTTGCTTTGCTTTTGTTGAGCTTTGTTTATAAGCTGAGATCCACCATTGACTGATTTATAAGGAACATGTTATTGGAACAAACATCCTCTGTAAATCCTAATTTGAACAACTAAACTGAATCCCAATGTAAAATAGAAATCCTGATTGGATAAACTATGTTTTAACTCAGTTAGAATTTGAGTAGACATTGATACATGAGATTAAGTATAATTTAAAAGGGAAAGAATGCAGAGGTTCAGCCATTGTGTTTTGTTTTAACCTAGCCCCAGTTGTTTGCTTTGCTTGCGTTGAGCTCTTGTTGAAGAAATTGCAAAACTGATTTGTAAAGACAGCTCTATGCAAAACCCAATGTCAAACAAATCTAATGGCTATTTAAATTGGACTTAAATTAGATTCAAACATAGAAATCCTGATTGGAGTTTGCCCGCACGAAGCTCTATTTTAAGTCAGATAGAATTTGGGTAAAATTCGATAAATACATTGAGCATGGTGTCAGAAGGAAAAAAACCAAGGCACGGAAATCGTACTTTTACCCAGCCCACAGTACTACCATGGTCAGAAAGACAGTAAAACACTATGTTGAGGAGCGTTTTTCATACTGAGTTGAGATCTCCTCCAACTGCCGCTCTCTAACATTCAAGTAGAAATTGAACAGAATTTGAATAGGACTCAACAAGGAAATACGTCTCCCCAATCCTATTGAAATTCTATCTTTCTAGATTTACCAATGGACTTTCCGGGCCATAAAACTTTACAATTCAACTTGAGGTTAGAGAGAACTTGACGAGGAAGGAATCCAATCAAAAATGTTCAATCCAAATCAGGTTGAAATACAGTGGGTGGACAAAATCCTGCACCACCTAAGGAACCCTAGAATGATGAATCCACCGCAAATACCAACAGACGAAGGTTTCCCGTGGCCTCAAAGTGGTGCAGGATTTCGCCCATCCACGGCAAAAATTGCTCTATTTCAAATTAGAACTTACGTAAATCAATTAAAATTCAAGCACAAATAAATCACACAGAGGTCACCTCCAATGTGCATGTTAAGCTCGACTCGTAAGTAGGATCTTAAATTTATAAAAATACGTTGCCATATAGAGCTTTACAAGTCTATTTGTGTTTAAAGAACTTGATAAGCAAAGACTCTGGTCACAATGTATAGATTGAATTGGAATTAACATAAGAAACCTTGTATTTCAATTTAGACTTTACACAGGATGGCCTTTCCATATGTGCCTTTACAATTCAGCTGCCATTAAACACAATTTATGCAAAATGAGTTCAACTCGAATTTTCATTTTAACCTGGACTTTTGAATAAGCTCGAGACAACCAAAAACACAAAACGAAAAAGACACGATTCGCCCAGAACTCTTGGCACAGTGAGTGGCTACTTTTAGAAATAGTGTTGTCTGAGGATTGTCTTTTACTTGTTACGTGTTGTTTGGTCGTCTTTTTCTTGGTTTCTGAGTTTTCCTCCGAGTGTTTTGTGGTTTTTGGTTTTGGGCAGGCTTGCTCCAGTGGAGTCTAAGAACTGTTTGTTGGTTTTGGGTTCTTGTTGATTTGTCTTTTTTGCTTTCTCTAGGATTCTTTTCCTTTTTTTGAAATACAGGAATGCATTAAAACAACAGAAAGGACAAACGATTACACACATCTCTCACAAGCAACAGAAGAATACGCTATTTTCACAGTTCCAACAAAACATACCAGTGTAGTGCCACAGTTCCCTGTGAAAACAACTACCCTGGAGTTTAGACATAAGCAATCCAGCTGGGGTGACTGGGCAGGTACTATGCTTAGGAGCACACCGGGAAGCAGTTTTGGTTGTGTGTATTCACACGGAAGGTCGTTACTATTAAGAAATCACCGAGCTCCCATACAAATGTAGTACTACCGCGTGCGAACCTCCATAGAAGCCATCAGGATACATCAGGATGATCTGACTCTCTGCGTTTTCGGCATGTCCTGTCCGGAGTGTTCAGCACCAGCGCCATGGTAACGCAGCTTGGCTTCTCGATTCAACCAGATTCCCGACTTGGTGTCTTTGTCTGATCTGAAGCCCTTTTCTTGGCTTGCCAATCTCGAAGGTGGTTGCTAACATACGGGCAGGTCTTAAAATGGGGGGGCCAAACAAATAGCGGTGTCCCGTTTGCTTCCCATCAGAACAAAAAATGAACCCAACAAGGGTACCCTCAAACAAAGACAGACCCATAAATGCACCGTACATACCTTCCTGAGCGGATTGGCCAAAAGACCATTTGCCGTTTAGCTTGCCAAAAAGCGCTTTCAGTCCAGGAGCCCAGCGAGTGAGACAAAAAAAACACCTTCCATTCTGGGTAAATGGATTTTGGCGGAGGGAGTATGCGGTCAAAGAAACGGGACACTTCAATTCCCTGAGTGGGACACTTGGAGCTGCATTCGGAAAAATGTCAATCGGGCAGGCGCAACTGGTGCAAATGAGAAGCTCCCCCTCCCCTTTCCCCCCGAAACAAAAACAACGCTCGGCATGCAGCGCAGTTGTTGAGTAGTATGGCAGAAAGAATCGGAACCCATGGGGCTTGACGATTTGCGGGGAAGCCATGAACACATTCACACACAACCACAACCACAACCACAACCGCAACGACAAACAACCACAACCACAACCAAACAAAAAGGGAAAACTCATTGGTTTCTCTGAGCAATTGGCGTAGGGATCCTGAACAACCCGGAGTCGAGCGCTCGAGCGCGCCTCTTCTGCGGCGCAGCGCTGGGGCGCTTCCGCTCGGCTGCAGGCGTCCTGAGGTCAATGAAACGAACCGAAGCCTTGTCCGGGACAGGAAGCAAAAACAGGGGATACCCCTATGATGTCGATCCTCTACTAAAAAAGGAGGTATTTACCAACAAAAACCCAGGTTTTTCCAAAAATACACTAGAACAAGTGGGTATTTGGAGTAGGGGATACATTGACCTGACATCACCTGGGAGTTTCTCAAACTGGATTTGGGACCTTTGGTTGGCAGAAGACAAATAAAAACGAAAGGACATTGTTACCATTTTGGGGGTGGTTGTCTATCCCAAACGCCTGGGATGGTTGAATCATGTACCTTCAACCCCCAGCGCAATTTCACAATCCCTGGTTGTTAAGGGGGTGTCAACCCTACAAAAAGGATGCAGATTTACAATGGACAACCATGTTGCCCAAAAGAACTAGCTGAACATGTGAGTAGGGGGCAACCGCTATGACCCCCAAAATGAAGCTGTTGGTCTCATCCAAGGGGTACAAGATCTTCTCTGCGCAACTTTTTCGGCAGCTTCGGTTTGCGAAGGGCTCACGAAAGGTTCCTTTGGTAGGGCGGCCGAATTTTAGGGCTTTTCGATGTCTCACCCGGGATTTTCATGTGTTTTTCTTCTTCTCTTTTCTGCCGTTCCAGTTCGGTGTGTCCTTATAATTTCAACAGGGCACCCCAGCATGGTTCCTGCAGGTTTCCCGTTGAACACCCTTCAAACAAAGTACGCCCAAAATGTGGGAACCGCGGGAAAAACCGCTGTTCTTCTTCTGCACAGAACACAAAAACTATTTACCGAATCCATTTTTGCATAACATCCTCACGATCAAGCTTGGTTTAGGACACCATCGGGCCCAGACCCGAAGAAGCTGGAGTCGTGACAAATACCCACACACAAGTCGTCTTACTCCAAATACAACTGGCTTGAAACACAAAGTTCTGGCAAACCGGGCTTTCCACTTTACCTCTTTTCATCAGAGGTAGACATTCATTACCTCTGAACGTACTTCACAATCAACCTGGCAAAATGGTTTAGCCCAAGCAATGTAACGTACCCGGACCATGTTCTGGTTGAGTCTATCCCTTAACCTTCATCTACCTAGGTTTGAACCCCCATTGAACGAATGGTTGACCCAATTTAGATGATGACACTCAGGTAAACTGACTAAGTTTGGTGCGCGTCAGAGTAAACGGTTTGAGGAATAAGCTTATATATATATATATATTTAAAAAAAAAACGACAGAAAGAAAGCAAGAAAGAAAAAGAACAAAAGAAGAGAGAAAATAGCAGAGAGAGAAAGAAAAACAAAAAGAAAGAGAGGAAAACAAAGAAACAAATACAAACAATCACGTGGCTCACGTTGGCCCCAGTCTCGCTCGCTCGCGCCTGCCGCTAGCGCCGCCTTCCGCGCTGGGAGCCGCCGCGAAATGGGCGGCGCGGCCTCGCTCTCGTCGAGGCGCGGCGCCAGGCGGGGGCCGAAGGCGTGCATGGCCATGGGACCGCGGAGGTCGCTGATCGCTTCTCGCTGGCTTAGGCGAGCGAGCGACTAGCTGTTTGGCAGGAGTGACAATCGGAGTATGGGGTTAGTAACCAATTGAAGCCAGCTACGTGGCTTTCAGCCCCAAGTCGGGAGGGTTGGCAGGTGGGCTTGGCTCAAGACGGGGGGTGGCCGGATCCCTTTGCTTGAAAAACCTGGCAAACACCTCTCGCGGAGCACCTGAGCTGATTTCGGGGCTGGAAGTCTATGCGATGGCCCAGGTGGAAGATCCGACCGCCTCGCGAGTTGTGAGACCGG